TGTTTAGGCTAAGGCTAGAAATCAAGAAAGAAGAGAGAGAGAAGCTTTTAGCTTAGAGAGAGGATTAGATGATGATCGTTGGTGATCAAGCTTATTAATGATTTAAAACGGGGTGAAACGACCTCTATTTATAAGGAAAAAAGAGGGTCAAAGGGTTAGAAAAGAGTCACCAGAAATCTGAATTGGAATAAAACTCTTTTTATCGTGGTGCGACAGCTTTGTCGCGGCGCACCAAGCTTGTCACGGCGCGACAGGTCCATCGCGGCGCAACAGACAACAGTTTTTGCGGTTTTTGTTTTTATCATAACTTTTGATCCAGAAATCGGAATAAGATAAATAATATATTGTTGGAAAGCTCTAGAATTCTACTTTCCAAACCAATTGAAATCAAATTGATATCTTTTGTAGAATAAAATATATGATCGAAATAGTGGAACAGTGTTAGTTTTGGATAGAGTTTGGTATTTCATTCATATCTTTTTCGTTATAGCTCAGAATTGGGATTATGATATATCATTGGGAAGATAATTTCAAGGGCTATCCAACCATCTAATATTTGGAATTATGAGACATGAAAATCATATCCAAATGTATTTGAATTCGAATAGAACAAGGACTTTCCAAAAGAGGAGTTTTATTCAATTTCAAACTCTTTAATTTTTATCTTTCGGAAAGGATAGATTAGAACCTTCTAGAGATTTCTAGAAGTTCCTAATCATTCCTAATTGGTTTAGGATTGGGATTAAGGTATTGGACCCTCCTCACATGATCATTGGGTCGTAGGTTAGGTGGACCTAGGTCTGATTTGGGCTTAGTTTAGTATTTTGGCCATAAATCCTTTGTTATAAGTCGGATTTGGGCTTATAATATATCGTTGGAAAACTCTTTTCAAGCCCCATCCAGCTACACAATAATTAGACTAGGATTATGGAACAAAATAGACTTGTTTGGACGTTTTTACAAAGAGGATACGAAATGAATGATTTTAAGGGACACAAAATGAATGATTTTGGGTTTAAAGACATGAAATAAATGATTTTGACTTTAAACATTTTAGGAAAGGTTAGAAATATGGTCAAGGCTTAAGGGAACTTCACGAGACTTTTCAACTCTTCACCTAACTCGATAATCATACACATGAAAGGTACTCATCACTGGGTTTGGTTTTTAGGGAGACACAATCAGGTGTCTACAAGTACCCACAGCTATAGTACGAATACCACCACCGGGCTTGACAAGTGGTGTGAGAGGAGTACTAGCAATATACCCTCCTAGTTCCATCGGACATCTTCCAGCTAGAACCCGAAAGAGATTGTCGAAATAAGTGCATATGGATGTATTCTTGAGAAACCTGATTGGTTTGAATCATGGCACAAAGCTCAAGGAATCTATCAAGGTGCTCAATAGGATCTTCACTTGGAGAACCCGAAAATTGTTCCGCTTGTACCATTGTGGATGAATGGTAAAGTTGGTTTCCGTGACGGGTAGCAAAATCCCTCCCGTGAGCTCATAATCCTCGAGATTCCCAAACTCACGAAACAAAACATCATCTTCTTGCCTCGCCATTTCCTCGCTTTGAGAATTTGAAGACCAAGAATCACTCTCACTATCAAAAATAGCACCAAGACCTCACCCCTCTTCTTGATAAAGTCTTCGGACTTGTCTCAAAGTGCGGTTGATTTCGTGGTCAATGTAGTGTGTAGGAGGTCCTTGAGATCTCCTTTGCATCCACCAAAGCTAAGCAAACAATTAGCAATGACTAGCAAGAGAGTAAAGGAACAAAATAAAAGGCAACAAATCCAATAATAACAAAATAAGAGTGCAAACAAGCCGTTTCTCCGGCAACGACGCCAAAAATTTGATCGAGGGACAATAGGTCGTTGGTCTACCACCCTAGATCAACTAAATAATTTATATTCCTAACCTAACTCTATCAAGTTTTCACTAGATAGTGGTAAGCTAGGGTCGAACCACAGGGGAACGGGGTATTGCATAATCAAGGTGAAATAAAGAACCTATTTCAAGTAACAAGGGGATTGGGTTGTATTTGAGAATATCCAAGATTAAACCATCTACTAAGAAGTGATTAAAACAAGCAAATAAGAGAGTTGAACTAGAGTCACTAAAATAAAGATGAAAGATAAGATATTAATGAAAATATGATCAAAAACACTGGGGAGTGGGGGTTCCAATCATGATCTACTAAGACAACAATGATACTCATCATGGATTCATGCCAAGGAGTACAAACTCTACTCAAAATGATTCATTCTCATGCAATTACCCAAAGCAAGTCAATGAAATCGATCAACCCTAAACTAGATCATTCTCATACATCTAATCTAGAACTCAAATATTGGGGCTAGAGGTGCACAACAATACCTCCAAGCATAATAAGCACAAAATCATCAACTCAAGGCAAAACTTAATCAATCATTAATGTAAACTCAATCAATCGTGATTTTCACCCCCTTCCCTAGCTAGAAATCTAAGCTAGAGAAAGGAAAATAGCCATTTTAACTACACTAAGCATGTATTCAATCCCAACAAAACTAAACATGATTCAAAACCAAAGAAAGGCAATAAAATAAGTAAAAGCAAGAATCTTTATGGAAATAAACACTATTAAGAGCAATAAAATCAAACAAAAGATAGGGATAAAGAGATTACTATTATTAAACTTCAAGGATTAAGAAAACATGGACTCGTTGTATTGAAAAGTTGAAAGCTTGAATAAAACTTGAAAATATATTGATTACATCAATGGAAAGTTGAAGGTTAAGCTACTTTCTCTCTCTAAAATCTTGATGTTTTCTCTCTCTACAATGTTTTTCAATGGAATAGTGAATGATAGTCAAAAAAAGTTGTTGTCATGAAATTCAAGCTAAAGACTATATATAGCTTATTGGTAAAACAAAGGAAATGGGTGAGGGAGGGGCCTCTCCATCAAGGCTGTCGCGCCCTCTCTGTTGTGGGTACGTAGTTGGCAAAACCCAGCTCGTCGCGCCCGCGGCCACCTATGCCGTGCCCGAAGCCATTAGGGACGCGCCCTCTCCTTGCCATCTCCCAGCCATCTCTAGAAACTGGGTGTTCTGCTCAAGGTCTCTGTCCACACCCGCGGCAATGGCATCCGCGCCCGCGACATAGTCACCTGTCCGCGTCCACGGCTCTAACACCCGCACCCGCGGCTTGCTGTAGTAGCGCGCCCTCTCCCCTTTTGCATCTCCTTTCCTTGGAACAAGCAACTCTTGCAACTTCGACTCCACTTAGCAATTCCAATTCCGCTCACGAGTGCTAGGAGCTATCAAAATGAACAAATAAAGGGTAAAAAGCAAAAGAAAAGATAAAAGAAAAGGAAAAACACGAGAAAGAGCGAAAGTAACTAAAATAAAGGTAAAAACGGTAAGAAGAGGTATAAACAAGAGATAAATCGGGGGAATTCTCTAATGAAAAAGGGTGAAATGGTGTAAATGCCACTCATCAACACCCGAGTTCTCCATTGTATATTCGGATTCCGATCCGGAGGAGGTTTTTGGAACCAACGTAGAAGATAACATGGGAGAGAATCCTCCTCCACCTTTGCTACGAGACTATGACCACCCTAATTCATTCCAACTTCTGAGTGGCATACGTCTCCCAACCACAAATGCAAACAACTTTGAGCTTTCACCTTAACTCATCCGCATGATTCAAAGCGATCAATTTTGGGATAGCCCTTATGAGTGTCCCTGTGCTAATTTGGAGGAATTGTGTACAACTATCAAGCAAAACAACACTTCGGAAGAGTTTATTCAGATGCACATGTTTCAATTCTCCCTCGATGATAAAGCAAAGCATTGGTTAAGAAGGGTTGAAGAGGGATTGTTGAGTACTTGGGATGAGGTGACTAGAGCTTTTCTTGGGAAGTATTGCGCTCCCAAGAAAACCGCCGAATTAAGACGGAAGATCGCCAACTTTAACCAAGAGGTTGATGAAACTTTGTGTGAAGCATGGGAGCGGTTCAAAGATTACACTAAAGCATGCCCTCACCACGGTTTCACCTCATGGATCATAGTGCAAAGCTTCTACGATGGTCTTACTCCTACCTCAAGGGCCAACCTTGACTCGGGAGCCAAAGGTAGCCTTAAAAAGCTATCGGTTGATGAGGCCTACAAAATGATTGAGGAAGTTTCCAAGCATTATGCTTATGGGGGTGATAAAAGTCAAAGTCAACCCAAGAAGGGCGGTAAGTATGATCTTGAAGCAATAAATCTTATTGCTTTAACGGTTAATATGTTAGCTTGAAAGCTAGATCAAGTGAACAATGTGCCTGGTAGCTTCTCCTCACAAGTCATGTCATGTGAGACTTGTGGAGGAAACGATCACTTGGCATCCTAATGCAACACTACAACGGAGCATGTATCTTTCACTTGGGAGGAATGATCCTTACTCTCAAACTTATAGCCAAGGTTGGAAACAACATCCAAATCTTGGGTGGAAACAACCTAATCAAGCTCTCCCTCCTCAAAACAATTACAACCAGGCTCCTCCTCCTCAAAACAATTACAATCAACCCCCTCCACAACAACAAGCTCCCTATCGCCACCCCAACCAAAGAGACAATGTTCCAACAAAGACCCCAATACAATCAAGCCCCTCCTCCTCAAAAATCCAACATTAAATTCGTTTTGCAAACCTTCATGACCCAACAAATCAAGATCAATGGGGAAGTTAGTAGCTCAATTCAACAACTCCAAGCACACAACATGATGGTTGAAAGTCAATTATCTCAAATTACGCAACAAGTTGGGTGCTCCTCTAACCCCGGTGGTCAATTTCCAAGCACAACAGTAAAGAATCCAAAAGAACATGTGAAATCAATCACCTTGATTTTGGAAGGGGGATATGAAGCTCTAATTATGAGAGAAAATGTTGCCAAAAAGGGAGATGAGGGAGATAGTTAGGTAGATGAAAGTGAGTTTGAAAATGAAGTGAGTGACGAGGCGAGAGGAAGGTCAAAAATGAGTGATGACGGTGCCTCAAAGAGAGACGAGGGAGAAGTAAAAATCCAAGCTCCAATGAAAGCATATGAGCCTCGTATTCCATTCCCTCATAAAAGGATAGAGAAGAAGCTAAATGAGAAACTTTCCAAGTTCCTTGATGAAATGAAAGGACTTCAATCAAACATTCCACTTCTTCATGCTTTGTCACAAATGCCTACATATGCAAAGTTTTTTGAAATATATTCTTTCTAACAAGAGTAGGCTTGAGGAGAGTGATTCTATCTCCATTCCAACGGAGATAAGTGCTATTCCTCAAAATGAGCTTCCCGAGAAGTTTGGTGACCCCAGTAGTTTTGCTATACCGGTGAAGGTTGGGGATCTTGAATCAACAAATGCTTTGTGTGATCTTAGGGCTAGTGTAAGCCTTATGGCTAGTGTAAGCCTTATGCCTCTCTCTATGTTAAAAAGATTGAATTTTAGGGAGATAAGCCCCACCAAAATGTCAATCCAACTAGCCGACCGCTCGGTTAGAGTCCCATTGGGAGTCTTAAAGGACATCCCAATTCAAGTGGGGAAAGTTCTTGTGCCATGTGATTTTGTAATCATGGAGATGGATGTGGATTTCAAAATTCCTCTCATATTGGGTAGGCCCTTTTTGAAAACCGTGGGTGTTAATATTTACATGAAACAAGAGCGGCTTACCTTATATGTTGGGGATGAAAGAATCTCTTTCTCATTTCCGGAAACGTTGAATGACCCTATGGTTAAACAAGTTCATCGGGTTGATGTTTTGGTTAATATTTTAAAAGAAGGCATAAAAAAGTCATAAGATGAATTAAATCATGCTCCGGAGGTGAAAAAGCAAGAGAGGGCCAAGAAGAAAAAGAAAAACAAGATCAAGTTAATGGACAAGCTGTTTGGTTGCATTTCTAATGATGATAGCAATGTGATTATTTTGCCTAAGGAAAATGGCAAGTGTGTGGGAACAATGAGGTGGATCAAAAAGGTGTGCCATGACCCTCCCTAATTATGGATACCGCAATGTCGTCAAGCTAGTGACGTTAAAGAAGCGCTCCCGGGAGGAAACCCCAGTATTTTTGTTTTAATTTCTTAAAAAAAAAAAAAAAAACAGAGAGAGATGAGAGAGCTTGAACTAACACTTGACCATTTTGAGTGTTTGTTTATGTTTTGTTTTTAAACTAGGACAATTTTCTCAAATCAAGACAGTGCAAGGCAGATTCGGAAAAGCAGTAAGGAGCGGGCGCTCCACCACTGAACAACCAAAACAGAATCACGAGCTCAATTAGGAGTAGGCGCTTCTAGGGACCTGCACACCCGCTCCAGACTGGGGCAGCTTGAACAGATTCAACAGCAAAGAGCAGGAGCGGGCGCTCCAGGTTGTGTGCGTGCCCGCTCCAAATTGAACCAGTAGAGGCAGCAACTCCATACCAGATTAAAACCTAAACCCCAGCACGCCCGCTACTTTGTTTAACTCTCGAAAATATAAATAAAAAAATGTAAATAAATTTTTTTTTTGAATTTTGAGGTGGAAAACAGAAACCGAAATTCAGTTAGGAGCTAGCGCTCCTAAACCCTTGCACACCCGCTCCTGTCTTCGAAACTAAAATTAGTGAGCAATTTCAAAGGCCGAAGCGGGCGCTTCTCTCACCCCGCACGCCCGCTCGTCAGTCATCCGGGTAAAATAAGAGATTTCCCCTTGTCTATTTTAATCTTCTTTATTTCACTTTCTACCTCTCATCTCATCTCTTTCATATTTTCTCTTCTCTTTCCCCATCTCTTGCTCACTTCAAAACCCTCACTCCCTCTATCTTCTGTCTTCAAAAACATCATCAATCCTTCATTTCTTTCACTCAAAGTTTACAAATTCTTAATCTCCATCCAATTCTCTCTCTGAAAATCACAAATTTTCACAATTTTGAACAAGAATCCTAAAACCCACTAATTCTCCATAGCAAGAACAGTTTCAAATTGGTGAAAGCTTGAGGAAGGAGGAGCGAATTTGAGTAGTCTTGGAGGAATTTAGAGTATTTTCATACTTTAGTTGGTATAATCTTCTTCTCTACTTCACTTTGCCTCTTGAACCTTAACGTTCTTCTTCAAATTTCTTAATTTTCTTAATTTCATATAAATTGTGTAGTTAGTTGCATGATTAATTGAATTTTAACAATTATTGTTGGTTAATGAGAATTGTTTATGGCAAATTGTGAATGACATTTGGAGTAGTTGAAAATTGTGATTGAAAATTGCATATATTTGGTGAATTTGTGAATTTGAGTTGTGAGAAATTGATTGGATTTGAGAAATTGTGTGTTGGGATATATTGTTTGGTTGTGTTGTTATATATCTTGTGAAACAGGTATTTAGATTTTTAAGGGGGTTTGAAGTTAAGGGTGTGTGTGGTGTTGTTGTTTGTTGTTGAGTGATTTTCTTAAACAACCTTCCCTAAATTAAAAATGAAGAAATTCTTTAGAGGAAGTAAGAAGAGAAAGACAAGTGAACCTCAACCATCCCCAACTCCTTCACAACAAGAAAATCCTAACCCCCCACCAACACTAAAATTCCATGACCGATGTAAGAAGGCTTTCAATGACCTCTCCAAACGAAAAATTATCCCAACCCGTTTCTATCATCAAGAATAAATGCAACTATTAGGGGTCGATGAAGGAATAAGAAGAGTAGCCGACAACTTTGGTTGGCTAAACTTCCTAAAGAATATGGAAGAAACTTATGCTTCCCTAACTCTTGAATTCCTCTCATCGGTCACTATGAAGCGCATAAACCTAGAGGGTGAGCCATTACAGTGTGAGATAAAGTTTAGGATGTTCAATGTTGAAAGGACCCTAACTTTAACGAGATTGAACGAAATTTTTGAATGACCCACCCTTAACCAAATCTACGACCCCAATGGTACTTACTTCTCAAGCTATGAGGAGCAAGTTTGATGGAACACCATTACGGGTTATCCCAACTTCACGACCCGGTCTAGCCATGCTAGCCACATTATCCACCCCGTCCTTCGAATCTTCATGAGACTCATGAGCTATGCTTGTTTCTCTAAGAAAGACTTAGGGAAACTAACAAAAGAGGAGATTAAATGCCTCTTCGTAGCTACAAGATTCGAAGAAATGTGGAAGGGAACGTGAACATGGGATACTTGTTCATTAAGAGATGCATGGAAATGAGGGTAAATGGAGAGATGAGTGGTGAGATTAGATGTGGGGGGATGATTTCAATTATAGCGAGGAAATTGGGGTTTGGTTCTTTTCTAGACCAAATGACCCCGGTCCATAGTTCTAACTTGCTTGATACCAAGGGACTTTATGATATGAAGTTCCTTGTTGAAATTCCTGGCCCAGTTCGTCGCTTTAGTAGGAAGGTCAATGGGAGGCATTATTGCACGCTCCCTAATGCGACGGTCACTAACTCCGTGGGGGACACGTGGCATGTGCCACGTGATCCACCCGCACGAGCTATGGCCGACGAAGACGAGGATGTACCTATACCTCGTCGTATGAGTACATCCTCCGTTCCCCGATCTAGAATAGATAGTTCATCCTCTTCCTCTTCCCTCTTTGATGTCGAAAATGCTTTTAACCAATTAAACTTAACCAACCAAAGAATTTTAGAACACAATGAATATCAAAGTTTTGTAGCGGAAAGAAACTATCAACATCAAGGTGAGAGGGGGGACTTTCTCCTTTACCTTAACTATCCCAACCGTCCCATTCAACAAGGGCCGATTCCGGGTTAGTCCAATGGCCAAACCACCTACCCTTTTTGGCAAGGCCCGTGTAGCTCGATTGGGGAGCTTCGCTCCTATCCCCTTTATGACTACACACAACTCGGGGGTAGTGATTATTTGAGTGACCCTAATTATTACTACGTCCTCGAGGTTGATAGTGATAGTTCATCTATGGAGGTGCTTGATCCCCTCTAAGGGGGCATTACGGGTTTACACCTGGTTATTCTTGAATTGTGTACATGTTTATTTTTTTGCACAACAACATTTCGGAAAAGTTTATTCAGAAGCACATGTTTCAATTCTCCCTCCGTGATAAAGCAAAGCATTGGTTAAGAACGGCTGAAGAGGGATCGTTGAATACTTGGGATGAGGTGACTAGAGATTTTCTTGGGAAGTATTGCCCTCCCGAGAAATCCGCCGAATTAAGACGGAAGATCGCTAACTTCAACCAAGAGGTTGATGAAACTTTGTGTGAAGCATGGGAACGGTTCAAAGATTACACTAGAGCATGCCCTCACCACCATTTCACCTCATGGATCATAGTGCAAAGCTTCTATGATGGTCTTACTCCTACCTCGAGGGCCAACCTTGATTCAGGAGCCAAAGGTAGCCTTAAAAAGCTATTAGTTGACGAGGCCTACAAAATAATTAAGGAAGTTGCCAAGCATTATGCTTATGGGGGTGATAAAAGGCAAAATCAACCCAAGAACGGCGGTAAGCATGATCTTAAAGCAATAGATCATATTTCTTCAAAGGTTGATATGTTAGCTCGAAAGCTAGATCAAGTGACCAGTGTGCCCGGTAGCTTCTCCTCACAAGTCATGTTGTGTGAGACTTGTGGAGGAAATGATCACTTGGCATCCTATTGCAACACTACAACGCAGCATGTGGCTTCACTTGGGAGGAATGATCCTTACTCTCAAACTTATAGCCAAGGTTGGAAATAACATCCAAATCTTGGGTGGAAACAACCCAATCCAACTCTCCCTCCTCAAAACAATTACAACCAAGCTCCTCCTCCTCAAAACAATTACAATCAACCCCATCCACAACAACAAGCTCCCTATCTCCACCCCAACCAAAGAGACAATGTCCAACAAATACCCCAATACAATCAAGCCCCTCCTCTTCAAAAATCTAACATTGAATCCGTTTTGAAAACCTTCATGACCCAACAAACCAAGATCAATGGGGAAGTTAGTAGCTTAATTCAACAACTCCAAGAACACAACAAGATGATTGAAAGTCAATTATCTTAAATTGCGCAACAAGTTGGGTGCTACTCTAACCCCCGTTGTCAATTTTCAAGCACAACGGCAATGAATCCAAAAGAGCATGCGAAAACCATCACCTTGATTTTGGAAGGGGGAGTATGAAGCTCCAATTATGAGAGAAAAGGTTGCCAAAAAGGGAGATGAGGGAGATTGTTGGGCAGATGAAAGTGAGTTTGAAAATGAAGTGAGTAAGGAGGTGAGAGGAAGGTCAAAAATGAGTGATGAGGGTGCCTCAAAGAGAGACGAGGGAGAAGTGAAGAGCCAAGCTCCATTGAAAGCATATTAGTCTCGTATTCTATTCCCTCATAGAATGATAGAGAAGAAGCTAAATGAGAAACTTTCCAAGTTCCTTGATGAAATGAAAGGACTTCAATCAAACATTCCACTTCTTCATGCTTTGTCACAAATGCCTACATGTGCAAAGTTTTTTTAAATATATTCTTTCTAACAAGAGTAGGCTTGAGGAGAGTGATTCTATCTCCCTTCCAATGGAGATAAGTGCTATTCCTCAAAATAAGCTTCCCGAGAAGTTTGGTGACCCCGGTAGTTTTGCTATACCGGTGAAGGTTGGGGATCTTGAATCAACAAATGCTTTGTGTGATCTTGGGGCTAGTGTTAGCCTTATGCCTCTCTCTATGGCCAAATGATTTAATCTTGGGGAGATAAGCCCCACCAAAATGTCAATCCAACTAGTCGGCCGCTCGGTTAGAGTCCCATTGGGAGTCTTAAAGGACATCCCAATTCAAGTGGGGAAAGTTCTTGTGCCATGTGATTTTGTAATCATGGAGATGG